CTAGTGTACTGCACTGTATTGCGCATTTAAGGGACACTGAAAGTTTTTTACTTCAATTTCTGATGCCGAATTCCAAATTTTTACATCGAGTAAAATACAGGGTATAATGTAACATACCGTACGAGTCGTCATAATTTAATTTAGTATTATTTCTTATTCTATATGCTTCGCCATAGTATCTATTCTATAATTCTCACTCCATAAAATTATGCAAACATCATCAAAATTTTTAATTCATGTACACGCATGTCTTTACCTTTCCAATACAGGGAAAAATTCTCAGATGCCAAACTTGGAAAAATCTGTGCCGTTTTCTTACAAAAGTAAGAGAAGTTGGTGGCTACATCTTGGTCGATGGTAAACCGTCTAATCTCTGGTTGTTGACCTTGCTTTTCAAGGTACGCTTTCACTGTCAGGGACATGGTGAAATACCGATTGTTGTTACTCTGCACTTCTCTCTGTCTTGAATTAGGTCGAGTTGATGTTCTTAGCGAGTATCTCCCTCTCTTCGTCAAAAGTGAACGTATGCTAAAGATCGTACACACACCGGTTATATACTGCTTGTCACGACAATCTAGAAACTTCTGAAGTGATTCAGTGACAGCTGTTAGTTGACAATTTTGAAGATAAAATTTTGCTGAATCATTTAGTCTTATGAAACGTACGAGAGAGCTTACGCTAGCTTACGCAGGTTTTGGAGCACGTGACCAAAACATAATGCATCGAGCTTTTCCGTACATGTTCGGTTCTGTACGGAAAATTCTTTTTACTTCCGAGTCATTTGGTCTAGAATTTTCGGGGATGACTAAGGGATAAAACATTTCCAATTGAAACATAAATTGCTTCGACACGATATAAGTCAATAAATATGATTTCACCGAGTGTGTGCTTGCTTGATCGAATATCTGAATTGAAGAAAAAATCATTTTTTATAAAATATATCACTATTGCGGCTGTCATATTAACGACCTATATTTAATATCTAGGCCAAAGTTAACGTACGACGTAAAATCATCCGATGCACTGCGCGCGATGTGATTGGTCAAAATCTCGTGGTGCTACCAGCAGTGGACAACAATCATGGCCGACCAAGGAGGGTGGCCGTTTTCCTCCGATCCTTTACCCGATCTAGGAGCAAGTTTCAATGTACCTTCAGACTTAGAAACAACAGGAATAGGTGATATAGATGGTAAGAGCATTTTGTGAAATTTTGGTGTTTGTAGGACTTGTACATCCAAAGTTATGCACGTTGTTTACAACTTGCCACCAGTCCTAAAAGAACCGTGTTTGTGCGCTCCAGCTGTCAGAACAGTTTCATTAGCATTAACTTTGAAAAGCATGACATAAATGGTCAACACTTGATTTATTGTATGGGACTGCTGTTGCTGTAAATGTTTCTGGTAAAATAATTACAATTCGTTGGTGTATTCCCAACTCCTTTAGTCTAATCTGAGCAATTGTTTTATGTCAAGGAAAATGGACAATCAGCCTGTTACTATCAAGTGTGACGCGACGAGATCTCAGTGCTAGACTTTTCTTATAGTCTTTCTAAATAGATATTGCTCTGAACGATGAAAAATGTATTTCAATGTCAAATTCAGTTCACATCAGGTCTTGAAGTTGAGTGTCATGGTACTACTGAACTTGCGTACTGCATTTTGAGACCTGCATACAGTTATCTACCCAGTATCTTGAGTAAAGTTGGCTTTTATGTGTACATTTCAGTGTTGCATCAGTTGTAAATGTTATTTTTGATTTTCTTATTTGACAAATGAATTGATATCTAAATTAATATCCACACGTCATTGCTTGTTTTTCAGATATGATGCAATATTTGTGTCCTGGTGCACCTCCAGATGATTTGTTTGATGGTCAGTTATCAGCTATCAAAACAGACCCAGATCTCTTGTCTCCAGTGCTGGATGACCCGAACTTAAATCTGGACAATTTGGATGCTCTTCTAAATTTCAATGAGTCACAGACACTTAAACCTCCCCCTGATTACAAGCAAGTAACACAGCAGCAGCAGCAGCCACTGAGACAGTTGTTTCAACAACAGCCACAAATTCAACAGAAGCAGCAACAATCAGTGCAGAATGTGAAGCAACAGCAGCCACAGCAGTTATTATTACAACAGCTAGCACAGCAAGTGGAACAGCAGAAATTACAAAATGCCTTGCAGAATTTACAACGGCAACAGCAGCAGCAGCAACAACAGCAGCAAGCACAAGTTACTTTACAGCAGCTACAACAGGTATGTACACATTTATGTCAAAGCTGCTGCAAAATCTCACATTAAAGGTAAACTTTATTTTGTAGAAAATTTAAAATGATAAAATTTAAAAGACTTGTGTTCAATGAAGTTAGTTGGTTTTTGGTTACTTTTAAATTGTGTTTTTAGTATGATTGAAATATTTTAAATTTAATGTTTTTTTTTTTTTTTTCAGTTGTTACTGCAAGCACAGATGAAGCCAGATACCTCCCCAAAGGTAGTTACCATCTCCACCACCTCTCCAGCTCTGAGTAATCTGAGCAATGTGAACACTGTGACCACTTCAGTCAACCCTGTCCAAACTGTGGTGACCACTAGCCAAGGCAGCGCAATACTGACCACAAGTATCCCCATACAGCTGGTGGACGCTGAGAAGGTTCCCATCTCCAGGTTGAATACATCTCAGACCAAAAACCCACCCAAGGGAGAGAAGAGGACAGCACATAATGCTATTGAGAAAAGATACAGGCTCAGTATCAATGATAAGATTCTGGAGCTGAAAGACCTTGTGTCAGGGACTGATGCTAAGGTATGAAATGTTTGGAAGTATCATTAAGTGTTTTATGATGCACATCATAAGTATTTGGTTGAGTATGAAAAATAGTTGTCTAATTTTCATTTAACATGGATTTAACTGTTGCAAGTAAGTATGTTATGTAGCTGTTCACACTATGTTTTATTTTTTTAGTTGAACAAGTCTGCAGTATTGAGAAAGGCCATTGAATATGTGAAATACATGCAACAACAGAACAATAGATTGAAGCAGGAAAATATGGCTCTCAAGATGGCCTTGAAGAAGCAGAGTAAGTATTATGGATTATTTACATGTGGGGGGGGGGGGGTAAAAAATATGGGTGCAATTATTTCAATATTAAGGGTTGTTTGACTAATAAGTATTGTTTGACTAATAAGTATTGTTTTTATTCAGACATTGCAGATTTACTGACCAGTGGTCAAGAATACTTGACCCCACCTAATTCTGAGACTGGATCTCCAATCCACAGTCCTCCAACCAGTGATACTGACCAGCCAGTAAGTCCATGTTCTAGTGAGGACAGCAACTCTTCAGGTAATTTTAAGGACTTATGATGTGATTTATAGCTTATGAAATATGCTGTTGTTAAACTATTTGTTTCACCATAATACATTTGCCTTAAAAGATCTATCACTGGCTGTGATGTTAAGATGAGAAACTGAAGATCAATGTGTAATGCTTTTAGATGGCAGCAGCAGTCTTACTACCCGCGCCATGATGGACAGGTCTCGCATGGCCCTGTGTGTGTTCATGTTTGCTATCTTGGCATTCAACCCTTTTGGTGCACTGATGGGCAGTGTGGACAGGGGAATAGCTGGGGATTACACAGGGGGACACATGGGCAGTGCAAGGACGCTTAACAGCCTGGGAAGTGAAGGTAAGTTTGATGAATACATTAAATCATAAATCTGAAACTTTTGTAAAACATGATTGATAAGATTCTGTTTGGTGTAAAATGAAAAAAGTACACTTCAACGAGTTGCATAGAATAACTATATGTCAACATCAAGATTGTCACTTTTTACTTCAGATCTTGCAAGTGGTCCAGTCAGCTGGTGGGATTGGTTATTCCCTTCAGCATTCATATGGATGTTGAACACAATACTGGTGTTTGGGGTGCTGGCCCGTATTCTCATCTATGGAGAACCTGTGACCAAGCCCTTATCTGAAACCTCAGTGCAGTTTTGGCGGCATCGCAAGCAGGCAGATATGGATTTAGCACGGGTAAGTACATTATAGGTGTGATGGTGTTACAATTTAATCCAAGACTTTAAATTTTTTTTTTTTAATGTTTTAATTGAACAGTATATTGATGTAACATTTATAAATTGTTGTATATTCATGTCACCTTCCAAGATTCAAAAACAAGTGTACTCATTTTAGGGGGAATACAACACGGCCAACATTCAACTACAGAAAAGTCTTTCTGCCATTGGTCGTTCCTTACCAACCTCCAACTTTGACCTAGCAGCAAGTATGTTTTGGAACCTCCTGCGCCAGGCCCTTCATCGTCTCTATATTGGCAAGTGGATGTCCTGCAGGGCCGGGGGCTTGAGGACAAGTGAATCCAAGGCCACAGAAGCCAAGCAGTCCTCAAAGAATGCTGCTTTGGCCTATCATAAGCTAAACCAACTATGGCTAACAGGTAGGAAACATTATCATGTCAAGATAAATATGTTTTATATTCTATCAAATTGTTAACAGTAAAACCAATTCCCCCTATGAAAATGACACTTTAAGCTGAACTCTTGCTGAAAGGTTGCAGTGTTAGCAATTGTTTGCTCACTCTTTAAGTGCCTAAAAACAGCTTGTTGTTGAAAAGTGACAAGGCAAATGAAGCTTTCTGTAAGTCCCTTTTCTGTTTTGTTTCTTAGGACATGGTGGCGGAGGTGTGCTGTCAGGTTTAAATCTAGCACTGAGTAGTGTGAACTTGGCCGAAGCTGCTGCAGACCAAATATCCCAGGAGTCTCTGGCTGAAATCTATGCCACTGCAGCTGTCACTGCTAAAGTGGGCCTACCAGTTGCAATGCAGTTCCTTGCAGTAAGTGTGTGTGTGTGTGTGTGTGTGTGTGTGTGTGTGTGTGTCTTTGATAGGCAGGAAGGGGGTGGGGGAGCATTCACATGCCAACATCAACCAGTATATGTAGAATTTGAGACCATGAACATATATTATGGAGTAATCATATTTTGTAGATAGGTTTTTTCATGCATCAGTGTGATCATGAACAGTACATCTTATCACTTCTGCATTCTAGCGTTATTTCCTGAGCAAGGCCAGGACTGTGTGTAAGAGTGGCAGTGGTCAAATCCCTGTATCCATGCAGTGGCTATGTCACCCACTGGGACACAGGTTCTTTGTTAGTGGCAACTGGACCATTGGCAGCAAGGACAGCATTTATAGCTCACTGACCAGTGAAGGTGAGACACTGAACATCTGGCTCACAACATTCTAGCAATTTTACACTGTGTTACCTACAAATTAGTTGGTTCAATAACTGCAAAAAGATTTTAGCTTTTTGATTTGTATCAAAGTTAAGATTAACAAAATCGTTGATATCATAATATTTCTACACAGTCATTATGTCAGAGGTGGCATAGAATAGTTGTTGAATGTGATCCTGTATGTTTCAGCTGACCCGCTGGCCTGTGTAATGCGTGCGTTCAGAGAGCACCTGCTGGAGAAGGCCTTGTACACACTGGTCACTCCTGGTTACAGTTCACCAAACATCCACAATGGTGACCACAGTGCAGATGGGTAGGTTTATTAAGTTGGCACATTCTCTGTAAAATCATCTTTGTTTGACATATCTTGTATTGAATTTGATTTGCTGGATCTGAAAAAAAGTTACCAGCTCAAGTGGTCTAAAGTTTTTTCTTTCATAAAGGTACGTTTGGATGTAGCAATGATGCAAAAATATTTTATCAGAAAATGTGAAAATACAAGAGAGATCATTTATGTCTTGTCTTATCTGTTAAAGTCATAATAACTCTTCATTTTGGCCAAAAATTGGATTTTCCTGGAGTAAACGGCAATTTTCCCGTACTTACCAATGGTCAGCGACCCCATTCCTGCATTCAAAGTTAATCCAGGGTTTTTTTCCTAAACGTACGGTTTTTTGTTAAAATCTCTTAAGAGATTTTTACTGACGGAGCTCTCTCTGACATNATTGCTTTAATCTTACTATTCTCTCTGGGTTACTTTTGGTCAGTGAAATCTGTTGTAATGTGAATTCTGTCTGGTTTTTGGTGTATAAACGTTAAAAGTCGGTCCTGTCTTCTCTAGGTCGCCCTCAGTCAGTGAGGTCCTGCAGTACAGCCAGCTACTAGCAGACTGCTCCAATGCAGCCAGCACTGTGGTCAAGTTGGAGGGAGGCGTGATGATAGTCAGTGGGGACGAGGTGTCCAGATGGTGGTCAGCTGTTCTGTCTGTTGGAGCCTATTGGTTGATGGGAGATGATGTGGCTGCAGAGAAACAGTTCCCCATCATTGAGACATTCCCCAAAGCATTGAAAGAGAAAGAGTGAGTCTTTCCTTTTGCCTTTGTTGTGAAAATAAATTTAAGTTTTAAAAGGACATTTGGCCTTTAGAAATATAATAAAGAAGTAAAGAATTGGAAAATATTTAATGTTAGAATAGTCTGTTATCACCATACTATTTAGAGTGGTTAGTAGAATGATGTTAAATGTTATAGTATGTTATACCTCTCTGTTATCACCAATAAGTTAAAAGTCATTACCAGTGTTCTGTTTTATTTCTAGCCATCCTCTCCCCAAGAGTGTTCTGATCATGTTCAAAGCGAGGAAGAACCTGCTCTCTGATCACAAGTCTAGTTGCAGTTTTAACACCATCAAGCTGTGTAACCAGGCCGGCCATTTGCTGAGAGACAGCCTGCACATGGGAGCAGAGAACAGGAGCTGTCAAAAAAACATGGTGGGTGTGAAAGTGTGAAAATACCTATCAGCCATTGTTGTGTTGTTTTTGAATTATAAATATGTGGAATCTGAAGGAGAGATGAGCCACACTGCAGTGAAGAATGCACATTGTGCAAGTGATTTATCTAGCAGCAGCAGCAAATCCGAGATGTTGCCTGTCTCTCTAGTGCATTGTAGTTGCATTGCATTAGCTGTCATAGTATGCAATGCATCTGCAGTGCAATTAGAGCGACTGGAGCTATCAACAAAAGCAAAGGGATGGATGTATTTAGGGGCTTATAGTAGCATGAAGCTTGCTAAAACAGATTATACAAGGCTTTGCAGTAACAGGAGGCCAGATTAATTAAATTTTAAATGGCGATTTAAGTTGTGATGTAAATAGTTACCGTGGAATAACAAGACTATTTGTAAACAATGATTGACTAAAGTTTCATTTTGGTTTTGGTTTTCAGATGAGCATAAATTCAAGATTGGTCTGGTTTCAGTTGAATACACTATTAATTGTACCACCAGCATTAGCGCTGGCGGTACACATGGTTTCGGTCCCGTCCGGATCGTCCCGCCGGCTCCGCCGGTTCCGCCGGCTCCGCCGGACGGCTACCGTTACCGCTTCTCCTCCTAGACGGTAAGGGCCCCCGTACCCATCTCATGGATTTAGGTCACCTATAATCTCAACTCGTTCCACGTAAAATTTGGGCTNGGAGAACGGACGAAAATCGGTGCGCGCGCAGGATGTCATCCATAAAATTAAAAAAGTGTGGCCTAACAAAGGTACAACGTTTGGATGTAGGAATGATGCAAACATATTTTATCAGAAGTTTTGAAAATACAAGAGAGAACATTTATTTGTTGTCTTATCTGTTAATCTTACTATTCTCTCTGGGTGCCTTTTGGTCAGTGAAATCTGTTGCAATGAGCATTCTGTCTGGTTCTTGGTGTATAAACATTAAAAGTCAGTCTTGTCTTCTTTAGGTCGCCCTCAGTCAGTGAGGTCCTGCAGTACAGCCAGCTACTAGCAGACTGCTCCAATGCAGCCAGTACTGTGGTCAAGTTGGAGGGAGGCGTGATGATAGTCAGTGGGGACGAGGTGTCCAGATGGTGGTCAGCTGTACTGTCTGTGGGAGCCTATTGGTTGATGGGAGATGATGTGGCTGCAGAGAAACAGTTCCCCATCATTGAGACATTCCCCAAAGCATTGAAAGAGAAAGAGTGAGTCTTTCCTTTTGCCTTTGTTGTGAAAATAAATTTAAGTTTTAAAAGGACATTTGACCTTTGAAATATAATAAAGAAGTAAAGAATAGGAAAAGAATTAATGTTAAAAGTCTGATTCCATACTATTTAGAGTGGCCAGTAGAATGATGTTAAATGTTATAGTATGTTATACCTCTCTCTTATCACCTATAAGTTAAGAGTCATTACCAGTGTTCTGTCTTATTTCTAGCCATCCTCTCCCCAAGAGTGTTCTGATCATGTTCAAAGCGAGGAAGAACCTGCTCTCTGATCATAAGTCTAGTTGCAGTTTTAACACCATCAAGCTGTGTAACCAGGCCGGCCATTTGCTGAGAGACAGCCTGCACATGGGAGCAGAGAACAGGAGCTGTCAAAAAAACATGGTGGGTGTGAAAGTGTGAAAATACCTGTTGGGCATCGTTGTGTTGTTTGTGAATTATAAATATGTGGAATCTGAAGGAGAGATGAGCCACACTGCAGTGAAGAATGCACATTGTGCAAGTGATTTATCTAGCAGCAGCAGCAAATCCGAGATGTTGCCTGTCTCTCTAGTGCATTGTAGTTGCATTGCATTAGCTGTCATAGTATGCAATGCATCTGCAGTGCAATTAGAGCGACTGGAGCTATCAACAAAAGCAAAGGGATGGATGTATTTAGGGGCTTATAGTAGCATGAAGCTTGCTAAACAGATTATACAAGGCTTTGCAGTAGCAGGAGGCCAGATTAATTAAATTTTTATATGGTGATTTAAGTTGTGATGTAAATAGTTACCGTGGAATAACAAGAGTATTTGTAAACAATAATTGACTAAAGTTTCATTTTGGTTTTGGTTTTCAGATGTGCATAAGTTCAAGATCGGTCTGGTTTCAGTTGAATACATTATTACTTCACTATATATGTTTGATTTCAGGCTGTTCAGCTGTTAGTGTGTGACTGGCTGCTGTTGTCCAGGACCAGTGTGTGGCAGGCTGACAGTGAGAAAGGGACCAGTATAGTGTCCTCATCTGAACTGGCAGCATTCCAGCAAGATTTAAGCTGTCTGAGACAACTAGCACAATGTTTTAAAGTGGCATTAAGAAGAGTGAGTATCGGTTTGTAAAATCAATAGAAATTCTATGTGGATTCATGTTTTGTCCTGTTAAGAACTTGAGTGAAAAATCAAAAATCATGCCAAATTATCCACAAGTACATTTTTCAGGCCAAAAGCTTCAACTTAAAGTTTTAAATAAAATTGATGGTCACTTGGTGAGTAAAATATTTAATATATCATTAAAATTCTTCCAGGTATTTCTTCATGAGGCCACTGCTCGTTTAATGGCTGGAGCCAGCCCAGCAAGAACACAGCAATTACTAGACAGAAGCGTACGCAGGAGGCATATAACTCCTCCTTTCCATGAAAAAGGTGAGATCTATATACCTTGTAATGACGGTCATTTAGTAGTGATATAATGTGCTAATATTTAAAATCAACGGAAACTGACCATAATTGTTTTGTTCAACTTAGATATTCAAGTTCAGAGGATGTGCATTTCTAAACCACAATTCAATAACAAATTTGTCACTTAAAGTTGTTCATGAGAAGAATAAGAAATAATTCTTGTATTGTTTACTGTCTTGTTGGAGAAGTCTCATTCTTTGAAACAAGCAGCCTGGCCACCACCATCTTATTCTCTTGTCCATTTCCCAGATTATCCAGAGTCCAAAGATACCCCAGACCGGGCCCAGGCCACCGCACTCTTCATGGCGTGTAAACACCTACCTGAAGCCCTGCTAGCAGAGCCAGGGAGGCGAGCGGGCATGCTGGCTGAGGCAGAGAAGTTGTATGAACAGATGGGAGACACCCGTGCTGCTCAGGACTGTAGGCAAATGATGGTTAAAATAACCACAAGCAAGGTGCCTTTACAGGTGGCTTACTAGGCACAGGGAAGACCTTTACGTCTACTTCCTCGAGTTTTGGTTTTATGAAAATTTGGGATGGTTTATGAAAAGGATGCATGTGCTCACTCACAAGAGTATTGATAGTATAATTTTCTGTCCGTGATGAGTCGACGTTTCTTGGAAAGTGGGCCCATGTATGTATGTATGTATGTATGTACCCAGCGTAAAAAGAACTTATAAATGGTATTCTTTCAGAATCTGAAGACTTAACGACCTAAAGACTTTTGATATTGCTGGCATTTATGTGACTTTTGCATAATGCACTATTTATACTAGAAATAAAGGGTTTGCTACTTAAATAGTTCTTTTTATTTATTAACCTAAACCGTAGTCGACTATGATGATTATTGAAATAACTAATGCAAGCGTTCATATTTCTTATTTCATTACGGATTCTGAAAAAGCGTGTTCATTCCTATCTATGCTGTCTTGGTTATGACCAACTTCTGTGAAACGTTTGTCTTAAATTTCAAATCCGCTTTTCTTAAGTCGAAAACGCTACTCGCGTGACGTCGACTTTTTTGTAACGATCTGTGAACAAGCAGATTTGAGGAACCCTAGTGGAATAATTTGTGTTATCCGGTCTCCAGTTTTGTTTCCACGTCGGTGTCGACAAGCAATCTCCATTCGGATCCTGACATTTCTTTAAGTGCATCCAGACCATCGCACAGCTTGAATGCCATTATGGCCTTTTCGCCGGTGGATCGAGAAAAATGACCTCCAATTATCATGAGAACGGCCGAGTCGTCTTCCTTTTTCCGCACGATGGCGCCACTGTCACCTTCCTTACAAAAAATCTCACCCTCATAAGTGTGTTTCAGTAATACGGCATTCTCAATCCCTGCATGAAATAGCGTGCAATCTCTGCCTACGATGACACTTTCTGTGCGACCCGTCGTTGCTCCAATTTTGTACATAACTTTTTTAGACAGGTGCCTTACATCAGACTCAAATACCTTTTGGAAATTCAGGCCGTGAAGGTCGACGTAATTTGCAGCGCAGTCGCAATTTATTTTCAATCCACTGGCTTTCAAGGCTGTTATGTCCACCAATGGAAAATTGCCTGACTTGCAGAGCTTAACGAGATATCGACAAACGCATGTTATTTTTTTACCATTTGTTAAATGTACGCTAAATGAATCTTCTTTTTCATTGCTAACGCCGTGTCCTGCACTCAGAAGGTAGACTACACCTTCATCCCCGGTTGTCGCGTATGCCCCTAGCGTCATGTAGCTTTCGCGATCGGAGTCCTCTTTTTTAGGTATGTTTATTTTAGCACCTGAGCTTGGCGGATAATTATAAAATGTTAACTTAACAGGAGACTCTGCTAATACTACGTCACAGTCCGATTTATCTATATTGCCGTGAGTCTCCACCAATGATTTCACCATCTCCTCTACTTCTTCATTTGTTTTTCCTTCGCACATGCTAAGACAGACGTGAACTCTGAGTCGGTTGTTCCAGATCTCCATGCAGTCGATAAACTTGAACCTAGTTAAGATGGAGACAGAGACATTTTATTGTAACAATTAAAAAAACCAATACTTGGTAAAGCAATAAACAGTTGGCCTACCACCAACAACTATTACAAGTGTAACGTGACTTCATGAAACGTAATTTGCTTTAGTTTTCCAACGGAATATTACACATATCATATCACTTCTATTTTCATTCATATCGATTATATTGAAATGTTTTACTTTAAAACAAACTATTTATACAGAAAAGACATTTTTAAAATGTAACTTTCATTAATTTTTCAAATGTATTTATTTCTTGAAAAAGAAAAAGTCGTACTTCCTCAGTTCATCCTTCAGGATCTTTGGAATTGTTTCACACTGCGCCACATCTAACCTTTCCACAGTGTGAATGCCAGGTTTGTTTGGGGACTCCTGATGCAAAACGTTGAGAGCAGATTCCAACGATTCAGCTTTACCGATGAGCTTTGGCTGGGCCTGGTCTAGGGTGAGATTGGCGAAAGTTCTCTGATTTTTTTCTTCAGTGAGGATGTTAGGAGGTGCGTTACAGAGTTCTGAGTCAGGTGTATGTGCATCTTTGGGGGGTGCAGGATTGCATGTGTCCAAACCACTGGAAAGAAAGTAAAACGCTTCTTTCTTTTATCTACATTGTAGGCATTGTTTGAGTTCAATATATCGTATTATTTAAACTTAAGGCCGTGAGAGAGAGAGAGAGGAAAAAATCTGTGCATAACGATGCAGTTGCAGGGTTTTCTATATGAACGTTTTTGGCCAATCCTTTACATTAAAGTTACGATGTCTTTGTACTAGAACTATAACATACACCAAACCATGTATAAAAGTTACACATGTGATGATATAACAGAGTTTAAATTTGAGAGACAGAGAAAAAGTTTAATATCACCTTGGATCATGGTGATTTGAAAAGGCCCCTCTCCATACATACCGTGCGAAAGTCAGTGCAACCCCACTATGTCCATTTCCACGGATCCCATCTAAGTACTAAATACGGTAGTTCGCTATTAACGTTAACATTTACCTTGGCTTAATTTCTTCATGGGGGGGAGGAGGGTCGACTTTGGTTGATCTATGACTATGGGTTTTCGGGATATCCTGATCATCAGAGAGACCATCACTGGTAGATTTGTAGCATGCAGGTGCCTTACTTCGGGCTTTAATTACAACGAAACAAGGACAACTTTTGTTTATTTATTTATTTTAAAATACGCTAATTAATGTTTTTGATGTCTTCCATAATGTACTATTTATACGATGTTCAAACCAGTTAGAGAAAAGTGACTTATAGAAATTAAGTGACTCGCTATTAGTTAAAATATTTCTTTCGGTTGTTCTTTTAAACGATAGCCCAAAATGTCTGCAGAGACCATATACACTAGGTATGTGGAATATCCAATAAAAGTCAAAAGGTGAAGTTGCCATGACAGTTCTTTAATTGAAATTTCTGAGAAAGATTAATGCGTTTAATCTTCGAGACTACAAACAAAGAATTGGCATTTTAAAGTCAAACAAACAAACAAACAAATAAACAAACAAACAAAAATAAATAAAACAAATAAAAACATTAAAATGTGTAATACTTACAGATACATTTCTTCCTCCTGCTTTGGTAGATGATCACAAAACAACAAATTATAAATGGAGAAATTGTAGCAAGTGCGACAAATACCGTTGTTTCCACTGGATCGAAAGCTGCTATAGTGTGAAAGGTAAAAAAGAACGAAAACTGTTAGGTATGAGCGTAAATTCACCAACATGTTGTGATTCATGATGTGTACAGTCTTCACATCTTAAAGATGCATACAAAGCCAATTTTTTGTCACAAAAACCAACCAAATGCCAGCATATAGTTTCAAGTAGTATAACTAAGAGAATTACCAAAAGGCATTGTTTAATTTTACCCGAAAATGATGTTTGAACGGATTTTTCTGCTGGCATTCTAAGCTGTATGTCAATGGGGCAGGAAAGTAGGTCACGAAAGTAGGTTAAATTTACAACCAAAAATTTAAAGAAAGGAGCAGTCTAAAGGCCTTTTATGGCTGATCGAGTGATCTATTCAGGTTATCTGTTGGCATGTCGAATTTATTTGAGTCATATAAGAATCTAGTAGAAGTGGTTTACATGTGTTACTGAAAATCCACGCTCTACCGATGCTCGGTTCGTATGTACCTTTAAGCCTCTCTTTTGCCCCTATTTCACACAGACCACGAATCCCACGAATGGCCATGAATTGACAAATTTCACGATTCGTGGTTGAATCGTAATCAGTTCGTGAAGTTCTTAACAGATTCGTATATATTCGTAGTCAGTTCTTGCACTTCTTGACCAACAGGAATTGGTGGCAAAAACTTTGATGCCCCTATTTCACACAGACCACGAATCCCACGAATCACCAGGAATTGAAAATTTCAGGATTCGTGGTTGAATCGTAATCAGTTCGTGAAGTTCTTAACAGATTCGTACATACTCGTAGTCAGTTCTTGCAATTCTTGATCAATCGGGAATTCGTGGCAAAAATTTTGAGCTGTTCAAAGTTTTGCCCACGAACTCCCGATTCCAAAAAATCGTAGTGAATTTCTGGACAATATTCGTGCGATTCCAGCCGAATCCCACGGATATTCGTAACACTATCGCTCCTGTATCGTAACTGAATCATAGAGCGTGTCGAATTAGACCAGAAAATTGGCAAAATCTCACGATTCCAGCCGAATCCCACGAATATTCGTAACACTATCGCACCTGTATCGTAACTGAATCGTGAGCGTGTCGAATTAGACCAGAAAATTGGCAAAATCTCACGAATCCTCACGAATCCTGAATTTTGTCAATTCCTGGCGATTCGTAGGATTCGTGGTCTGTGTGAAATAGGGGCCTTACAACCCGTCGTGCGTGCTTAAACCTAGGACCCAACTACGTTTTCGACGCACGTTTTTTTTTTGGTTCCTTGCGTCCGGCTAGGACGTAACTAGATCGCACGTAGCGGCTGTTGATCATGTCGAAAAGTTTCTACGTGCTGTTTGCGTCCTCCAAAAGTCGCACGATGGACGTGCTCCTCACGCACGAACTCCCACGTTTTCCCCATTTTTTGGCCGTAGACCACACGTAGCAGCCCGTACGTTCGGTTGGGACCTAGGCTTTAGAGATCGTGCGTCCTCGGAGTTCTTGTCAGGCGTAGCGTTGTCGCAGGATAACGTACGTCGTGATCAACAGCCGCTACGTGCGATCCAGCTACGTCCTAGCCGGACGCAAAGAACCAAAAAACCGTGCGTCCAAAACGTAGTTGGGACTTAGGCTTAACTTTTCGACATGATCAACAGGCGCTACGTGCGATCTAGCTACGTCCTAGCCGGACGCAAGGAACCTAAAAACCGTGCGTCCAAAACGTAGTTGGGACCTAGGCTTAATTCATTACTTTTGTCTTGCGTGCTACGAGCGTGCTTCAGGCGTTCTAAATGTCGCAGACAGGTCGTAGCGAAAAATGGCCGGCCAGTTTTCGGGCTGCGTGCTTTGCGTCGTGTTTGCGTCCAACAAAAAAAGGTACGTTCCATGTGCGTGTATCTTACTACTTGGCCAATTTTTGGCCAATTTTTTGCAAGCAAACCGCTCGTAGAAGCACGCACGACCGGTTGTAAGAGTAACTGTACACACACATTTTAACACTATAATTTGATAATCTAGCATTATCTATATCACGTTCTAAAAGCAATCGATACTGTTGTGCTAATAGAGAATGTATAAAATTATATTCAGTATCATTTAAAAAAATATTTTCGGCACTCTACCCTCTTTACTGCATAAAATGA